GCGCCGCCATACATCACGGAGCGGGGGTCAACTACTAAGCCACGCCTACCCCCCGCTATTTAAGACATGACCTCGTGGTGACCTGTCTCTTTCTACCTACACCAACCAGCCAGCAACACCTCCTCCTTCGCCTGCTTGGCGGCCTTCACTCCCGCCGGAGAGCATGGCGACCCACAAGCTGGTCCTCCTCTGAGCATCCTCACCAACCAGCTCTCTCTACATCACGCTTGTAACCATGCTGCCTTCCCAGCACCAAGCTGCATTGTACATCCAATACAACATGTATACAGACAGCACATTGTGAGTTTCCTTTCTCCATTTCATCCTGAGTGTGAACCAAATATCCCAAAAACCCCACAGTACATCCAATACAACATGTACACAGAGAGCACAGTGTGAGTTTCCTTTCTCCAACCCATCCTGAGTGCGAACCCAAATATCCCATACCCCACAAATGGTGACCCCCGGAGATTCGCACTCACACAGGATGGAGGAGAAACTGATCACTCTCCCAGTCTTCAAGCAACATGGAAGACTGGCTCATCCACCCAGAAGCAGCTCTCATCGGCTCTACAGCTACTGTCTCTACACCGCAGGTTAGACACCCTAGAGCAGCTCTGCTACTCTAAGCAGACAGCCGCTCCTCTTCCTGCCCCAAGCACCACGTCCTACCGACCCCAACACACCCGTCCTGCCTCAGACACCGCCCCCGGCCCAGAAGTACCCCCTGCCGCTCATCCTGACGCGGCCCCTGCTCCTGATGCGGACCCACAAACCCCTCTTTTCTCCCTCAGGTATTCCCTGCTACTGTACTGCACCCTGCTGCTGTCGTGGACCCAGCTGCTGTCACGAGCCCTCATCCGCTTCTGCTGACGCAGCCCTTGCTCCTGACCCAGGCCCACACACCCCAACAGGCGCAACTGACGACTCTGTACCTGCCGTGAGGGAAGCACAACATTAATCGCCTCCACAACCCTCTTTCTCCCTCTCTTCTCCCACAGATCTTGTGTGTCTAGACAGTTGCCTCCACTAGCGGCCGGCTCATCCACGCCATCGCCGTTAAGTTTCACATGAGGCATGCACCGCCCATTCTGCCTCACATGTGCCATGCAACCCTGCAAACAACAAGTCTCCTACACCGCCTGGAGGGAAGGGGGAGTATTATAGTGGATTTCTCCCCTACAAACGCTGTTTGTCGCTGCATAGCCGACCCCGCGAATTCCACAGTGTATGCCTCGTGGTCTAGGTCAACCAGCGCCGCCCACGGAGTGGGGGTCAACTACTAAGCCACGCCAACCCCAGCTCTCTTTCTACCTACACCAACCAGCCAGCAACACCTCCTCCTCCTCCGCCTGCCTGGCGGTCCTCGCTCCAGCCGGCGAGCATGGCGACCCACAAGCTGGTCCTCCTCTGAGCATCCTCACCAACCAGCTCTCTTTACATCACGCTTGTAACCATGCTGCCTTCCCAGCACCAAGCTGCATTGTACATCCAATACAACATGTATACATGAGAGCACATTGTGAGTTTCCTTTCTCCATCCCATCCTGAGTGAGAACCCAAATATCCCATACCCCCACAAGATCTCTCATATTTTTTTTAAGCTGTTGGAGTCACTAGTGTGTTACTAACCTTGTTACGCGCTTAAAGACCTTCGTTGTTGAACTGCAGTAATGTCCCTGTAAGAAATTGACAACAACAATGTCGTCGACACCAGTGTAGTGGAATTCTCCCCTACAAACGTTGTTTGTCGCTGCCTAGCCGACCCCACCAATTCCCCAGTGTATGCCTCGTGGTCTAGGTCAACCAGCGCCGCCATACACCACGGAGCGGGGGTCAACTGCTAAGCCACGCCTACCCCCGCTATTTAAGACCTGACCTCGTGGTGTCTCTCTTTCTACCTACACCAACCAGCCAGCAACACCTCCGCCTGCCTGGCGGTCCTCGCTCCTCCGCCTGCCTGGCGGTCCTCTCTCCCGCTGGCGAGCATGGCGACCCACAAGCTGTCCTTCTCTGAGCGTCCTCACCAACCAGCTCTCTCTACATCACGCTTGTAACCATGCTGCCTTCCCAGCACCAAGCTGCATTGTACATCCAATACAACATGTATATAGAGAGCACATTGTGAGTTTCCTTTCTCCATCCCATCCTGAGTGTGAACCAAACAATCTCATACCCCACACCAGTTTACACAAAATTCGCGTGTTTGTTACAATGATTTTGTTTGTGTTGGTAGTTGATTGGCCATAAACACGAATATGAACATTTAACCCTGGAATTGAACGTTAGTGAAGACAATCAACTAATAATTAAAAGCACACAAAAACCTAAGAGAACGAAGACATTAACAATTACACACTCGCTCACGCACATCGCGAATTACATATCGATATATAATATTATTTTAGTGAGTTGACATCAAGAGTTTCCAAGAACTGGTGTTTTAATGTCTGGTGAAATTGGATTAACAATGAAGACAATGTCAGAATGTCTTTGTTTTAATTATGTAAAATACTAAGCCGTAATAATAACCTGCACGGAATTTTCGGTTATACTAACAGGAGAGCTTTTTATTGACAATCATCTAGAGGTTTATTCTATTACTGAAATCTAATTGCCATGTGTTAATCGTGGTATTTTAATTGACGTCATCATCTACTCCACAATGTTAAAAAAAAACTATTCAAGTCACCCACCCACGTTTTCTCTGTAGGAGAGTGTGGTCGTAGTTACACACTTACCACTATCAGTTTATTTTCAGGAGTAGTTTTCACACTGAATGATAAACATGTTGCCTTGTGCCAAAATCAAATACAAATGATAAAGCGTTAAGAAAATTGCACAAATGAATAAATAAGTAATTTGCTATTGGAACACTGATGGTGGTATGATCACTGGAGTTGTGGCCAAATACGGAGAAACACTCGCTCAGTATAACCAAAGCTAGCGTTTTCTCGCTATTTAAAGCAGTCGTAATTTTTTAAGGAAACGTTAAATCGGCTATTTAGTTGTGAATTCGAACGTTTGATTATTAATTTTCATGTAACATCAATGTGATGAGTAGATAAGGCAATTCTGACCGATTTGTGTTTTATTTTATGATAATGATTTTTAATGGAATACATTATGCGTCAAAAAACAGTATGAGCATATCCGCCAAAGTGCCCTAATTAATTTGGTCATAGTTATACCTACATTATTTGTCAACTACATTCTCCAATTTATATATAGATTTGGTAAAATTCTTTCTCAAAATTGGAAACACGCAAGCTCTACTGTTATACTGTGCTGTAATTTGTAGAATGGCGCGCGTTTTGGGTAAAATGACGGAGGTAACCCGGACCCCGAATACAATGTATGGCATTGTATTCAAGACTCAAGAGAATAGGTCATCATATTTAAAGGATGAAGGTATCGTACTCCAGGGCTCAGACCATAAACTCGAATGGTTGTCACTGACATAAGGAGTAACAGTTAATAGATCTTATTTATAATTCCAATTCAAAGTACTAAAACATTGAATGCTGAAGGTATTGTAAACTAATGTGCCCGCAATATAGATATTTGCAATATATAATAGAGCCTTTGTTCAATAAGATGTGTGTATTCATCGGGTGGTTACAGTGTCTGAAATCACCATCTTTATTTGGTGACGGCGTGCTTGAAATCACTCTTAGAATGCGTGATGTGATTACAGTGATTCAAATTACTATTAAGCGGGGTGTTGTGTGATTGTAATGCTTAGAGAGCGTGTGCTTATCATATAGTTTTAGTGTTTGAAATTTCTAACAAAAACGATTTACCGTGATTGCAGTACTTGAAATCACTATCAGAAAGCGCGTATTTATTATGCGAGTACAATTCTTGAAATTTCTGTCAGTAGGCGTGTGTTTATCGTGTGATTGCAGTTCTTGAAATCACTGTCAGTAAGCATGTGTTTAACTTATGACTGCAGCTTTTGAAATCACTGTAATTAGGCGTGTGTTTATCTTGTGATCGCAGCATTTGTACTTCCTGTCGGAGGTCGTGTTTTACCTTGTGATTACAAATCTTATAATCACTATCAAAAGGAGTGTTTTGTTATATAACTGCAGTGCTTGAAACACTTAAAAAAAATTACATTATCCTCGGTCATGGTTAGGTTAGGTTATTTAGCCACAGTGAGACGAAAGGGGGGGGGGGCATTTCCTTCACTGAATAAATCTCAGTACCAGTAGCCGGCCAAGATGATGAAACAAACACCGACAAAAAAATATACATTAAAATGAATTAAAGAGTAAGTGTAATGTTGAATATTTTTTTATGTTTGTGCTTTACGTAGCCTATGATAAAACCCTATCACAGTAGAGTTACTTTGTATGAAGTTCTAATTACTAAAATAAATCAAGTCTACAATGACCAGCTGCATTGTGTGTGTGTGTGTGTGTCTGTGTGTACGCTTCAAAACTCCCTGTTATGAGGTTAGGTAATTTTTAGATCATTTGCGAGGAAAACACCATAGAAGATAAGTGTCTTAAAATTGTCCGAACTATTGATTGCAAAGATAAGGTTCTCTATATTCGACTGTTAACAATTTATACAATAACACCGACATTTTCCGAGATTGGTCATTTTCATACAATATATAGCCGTTTTTAAATTCCATATCAACTTATGAATATAATAGCTAGGATGTATAATGTATATTTCTAAAATTTTATAAACGTTCCATTATGCATGATCAGGGTTCAACTTGAGTATGTAGCGATTTGGTGCGTGTAGCGCAACTTAACAAGTATAGCAGTGTGATGAGCGGGGTTGAGTTGGCAATACTGATATCAGTGCCGTAGTGACGCGGTGGGCGGGGGCCACACTAACCCGACTGTGCCATAATTCTCCCTGTGTACGACCTCCCATCTATTAGTGATCGTAACAAACGTCTCAGTAGGCCAACTTATAGTAAAATATACCAGTGATGTGTTGTGAAAACTATGCCAGAGAGCGGTGAGAGCATGAAGAGTGTGTTGTTTACACAGCCTGCTTGTCGCCGCCTCATCCGCAGTACACTGATAGTGCCCCACTCACTTCTCTCCTGTGTGGCACTGGTGGCCCCCAGTGTGTAATACTTCCCCTGCCAGAGTGGTTATCAAGAATCTAACACCTTTTGTTGGTAGTGAAAACTCTATTTGATATGTTTGACAATCGTGCCAGTTTGAGCAGCAAATGAACTTCGCCACTTTAATCTGGCAAAAGACTTATTATTGAACAGTTAATGGGGCATTTTATCATGTTTCATAATTCTTTGTATTTATATATCTTATTTTCACGTTATCTGATATCACTTTTATAGTTTGATTTGAATTAGGAGTGAAGAAGTGGCTAATCAAACTTTTAATAAATAGCTATGGCATTAGTAATGCTATCTTGTTAATTAAGATGTAATTTGGATCTGTATAACTCGATAAAGTTGGCAGTGCTTGTAATTTATATTCTTTTAAAAAAATAATTTTAAAGGGAGTAATATAACTAACATGAAGGTTGAAATACAATTTGGAAGTGTATTCTATTTTTTTATAATTGTAATTGGTTGCTCCTTCCATGATTTGAGGTTAAATGTATACTAGTCAACGTGATTTAATACTGTATAGTGTGACATAAAGCTGTTTGGGAAAAGTTAGTGAGGTGTACGATTTCGAGGGAACTAAAATTTTGGTGATACTATAGTGTGTAGTCTACAAAGATAACTAGTCAAATCTAACCTAAGCTAAGCTAAATATCTTGTAGCACCAATATTTTATAAAATCATAAATTACATACAGTATTTGAATGAATTTTCTGTGTAGCTATGAATCCGAATCCTTAACATAAGAACATAAGAAAATAAGGAGTCTGCAATAAGCCGGTTGGCCTGTGCATGGCAGCTCCTGTCGAGATTTACTACCACTCTATAGCCTCCTTTTAAAACTTTCCAGCATTCCAGCACTTACTACAAAGGTGCTAAGCTTGTTCCATTCGTCTACCACCCTATTTGTGAACCAGTTCCTTCCTATCTCCCTCCTAAACCTAAACTTATCCAACTTGAATCCTTTGCCACGAGTTCTATCCTGCTCAGATATTATAAGAACGTTAACTATATCTCCTTTATTGATTCCTTTCACCCACTTGAATACTTCTATCATATCTCCCCACACTCTTCGTCTTTCTAGGGAATGCAAGTTTAGTTTCTTTAACCTATCCTGATATGGAAGGTTTCTAAGTCCCGGAATCATTTTCGTCATTCTTCGCTGCACCGACTCCAGTGAATTGATATCCATTTTATAATAAGGGCACCAGAACTGAACAGCATAATCGAGGTGCGGCCTGACTAGCGCAAGATATAGTTGCAATATGACCTCCACACTCTTATTACTTACACTTCTGTATATATAACCTAATACTCTTGTTTGCCTTATTTCGATTATTAATGCACTGATTTCTAGGCCGTAGGTTCAGGCTTACAAGTACCCCTAATTCTCTTTCACAAGTCGACTTTTCTAGGTTGATGTTAAGGTTTTATTTATTTTTTACGGGAATTAGCCCACCCGGGCACAGGTCAAACGACCCACAACGGGGCCTGGGGGGCAAAAAAAAAAGAACAAATAACTTGAAAATAGAAAAGAAAAAGGTTATACTACGTTAATGTACACCACGAAGATGCTGGAAAACCAGCTTTTTAAAGTGAAACAGATTGTATAAGTATGGAAACACAGAAGAAGGCAGAGCATTCCACAGTTTGGCTGTGTGAGGAAAGAAAGAGGTACTATAACGGGTTATTCTAGTGTGACCGAAACCCACAGAGAAATGGTGGGTACCGCGGGCAAGACGGGTGTTACGAGCCCATGGCCTTGCTGGCAGTACACAGGATGCCAAATCCACTGAACATTGCCCGTTAAAGTACAGTACCTGTAAAAGAGAGAGTGAAGCATCATTGTGGTGTAGCGAAGGGAAGAAAGATTATCAACTAAAGGAGGAGAGTTAATAAAACAAAATGCCGTTCATTCCACCCTATCTAATGGTTGGACAGAGGAAAAGCCACCCCAGATATGAGAGCAGTACTCCAAGTTAAGACGAATGAATCCCTTATACGGTATACCGTATTTGCCGGCGTATAAAACACATTTTTTTTTATTCATGTATCGCAAATTACCCTGCGTCTAATGTACCTGTATTATGGATGGGAGGCCGAGCGCCGTAGGTGGAGGTGTCTAGCTAGGGAGTCTGGGACGAGCAGTAGTCCACTAAACACAAAAATTGTTTTACTAATAATATTACTAATAATAGAATACTGAAAAACAAGCCAAATTATCACAATCTAATCACAATCTATTATTACAAACTTACGTCAAATTTGCCGAAAACGTAAATAATGGCTTATATTGGCTTAACGGCATAGGGAAGCTACATTGGCTTAACGGCATAGGGAAGCTCACAACATGTCACTGTACCTTCTTCCCTAGCATACATAACCCACACCAGATACATGTCTTACATTATTTAAGGACTGTATTACCTTTAGGAAACATTTGTATATTATCTAATTGAAAAATGCCCCTAGAAAGATTAAAGAAATGTTAGCAGAAAGTTCAGCCGCCAGTCAGCCATTAGCAATGAGACGATGACTCTAAAACATTAGCGATGATGTGGGGGGCCGGTGGTAGAAGCGGTATCGCTCTTGCCTCGCAAGCAAGATGTCAAGGATTCGATTCCCGGGCCGGTGGAAGTTGTTTGGACATACTTCCTAGCCCCCATTAGACCCTGTTCACCTAGCAGTAAAGTAGGTACCTGTTGTAAGTCGAAAGTTGCGAATTCGTATTCAGGGAGTTGTTGGAGCTCTTGACTTCAGGCTTCTATGCCCTTAACTCATGAGACATAAAGGCAAGCATGAACTTAGCATGCTTCCCTGTTGGGCGCTGTAAACACTTCTGCGCTTCACCTTACACAAGGATGTCGGGGAGTGCCCAATAAAAAAAAAAAAAAATTAAGCGATAGTGTTATACCCTGGTGGCAGATCGCAACAACACAAAACATCACAGCCAAAAATACGAGTTTCACATCTTATCGGTAATTCTCTTGACCAAAATATAAACAAGCCACACAGCTGCTCTGATCAGAAGCTATATACAGTATTGTATTTACATGCACAAAATCATATGTTTTCCCCTACAAAACCACTTTTAAATCACTTTCAATAATTGTATGATGAAACGTACTAAAAAAAAATCCACAAAATATCCTTGTAAAATAGGGGTGCATCTTATGCGGTGGTGCGCCTTATATGCTGGCAAATAGGTACTTGAAGCAACTGCTCAGGAGTAAAGTAGCTACAGCATCTGTACAGCATTCCCAGCTTTTGGGAGGCAGTTTTAGCAATGTCGAGGATGTGTGGCTTCCATGCCTTTTAGAGGAAATGTTGAGGCCTAGCCTATTTTAGAATTTGGCAGAATTATTACATCCTGAAATGTGATTGGTGGGAGATCATTTAATTTGGAAAGTGTAATTGGTAAATGCTGAGTTTTATTACTACAGTGACCCCTCGGTTAACGAACTCAATCCGTTCCAGAAGGTCGTTTGTTAACCGAAAAATTCGTTAACCGAAACCATTGTTTCAATGGGTTTTTGGGTAATTGGTTCCAGCTCACCGAAAATTTCCTAAATTCAACAAAAATGGTAGAAAAGTTCACTTACTTTGAGGTGTGTATGTAGAAGGCTCCTGGATGATGATGATGATGATGGAATTAGAATGGGGGTGGAGGAGAAGGAAGAAGAAAAGGCATTGGGGTGGAAGAGAAGTCACCCCATGGCACCATTTCATCCATAAAATTTTAGTTCTCTTGGTGTATTTCAAGATTATTTTCTTTAAATCAACACTGCACTGCATTATATATTGTCAATATGTAAAATATATTTCAAAATGACCAATAATTTGCTTGGAAACACAGAAAAAAGCGTTTAGTTGAAGAGAGTCTCAAGCAAGATGTTACCTGTGTTAAGAGGCTGGATGCCGCGCATTATACTAGTCACTTTACCTTCAATTATGTTCAATAATTGTTAAAATGACTAAAAAATTGAATATTAAACTTTTAAAATTATTGAATAGTATAAACTTCTTGATATTTACTAAAATAGTAAGGAATTTAAGCCCTAGAACCGATTAATGTATTGGCGGACTGATACTAAAGCTGGTTGCCCGGTCAGTGCAAGCGAAAACATGTTGAGGTCGGTTCGTAAGAAATTCGTTAACCTAATTTTTGTTCGTTAACCGAATTGAAGATCCATATGGAAGGCAGTTCGTTAACCGAAATTTTGTTAACCGAGGCGTTCGTTAAACGAGGGGTCACTGTATTGAATTTAACCAAGTTTCTGCCTCCCCATTCGGAGATGCTGCACAGATCCTCATTGTTAGATGTGATGATATCAGCTCTAGAAACAGATCTAATTTGAGAATTACGGGCAAGGGGAAAATGTGAAGAAGAGTGAAGAGTAGAATTATCAGCGTAAGAATGGATAAAATTAGTCATAGTGTGAAGTAAATCATTGATAAAAAGAAGGAAGAGTGTAGGAGAAAGAACAGAACCCTGTGGGACACCACTATTGGTAGAGAAAGAGCGAGAGATCGATCCCTCGACAGCAACTGCCATGGATCAGTTCTCAAGAAAGCTAGAAATTAGAGAACAAATTGAAGTAGATAACCCATAACAGGGAAGTTTAGAAAGCAAAGATTTGTGCCATACCCTGTCAAATGCTTTGGAGATGTCGAGGGCCACGACGAAAGTTTCCCCATAATCCCCAGTAACTCTTGTTGTGAAAGCTACAAAGCTTAACTATTTTTAACAGATCAAATAACCAGGTCTAACTTGATCCTGTAAGTTCAGAAATGCTACTATGTCACACAAAGAATATTGCTACAGTACTTCGTAGCAGTACGTAATATGGCGAATGGCGCCTGAAGTTAGCACTTCGTCTCCAAGTCCAAATGCACACTAATATATCGTTAGGTTGCATTCATGTTTACTGTCTAATGTAACCACTATAAACTAATATTAGATCCTGAGGTTATTTAATTTAGGTCTAGGTAATTCGTTTCTGCTGTAACAAATAGTTATTTTTAGTATACAGATTGTGCCTACCTGGTTATCTAGCAAAAATAAACGGCTTGAGATAATCTGGATCTAGCATCAAGTTTAGGACTACTCACAACTAAAGATCTTGATTCACAGATTCTTTGAAGTGGTTTGATTAACATAAAGATTTGTATAGAGTAACTATTTTGCCGATATAAATTATTTTTGCGTGAAAACATTTTATACGGTTGAGTACATGTGAATATTGTGTACAGGTATTGAAAATTTAATTTAATATAATTTCCCTCAAACACCTTTGGTTATTAATTGTAATTTCTTAGCAATACTGTATATCTATATATGACTATCGAGTGACGGGACGGAAAATTTTGTACAGTGATCGAGTTTGGACGGAGTGGCAAGTGCCCAGCTACTCAGGGAACAGATAACTTGGATTATGAGCACGGTGCTGTGGGTCATACATTATTATTATTGCTACTGTTGCTAAGTGTTAGCAGGACCCCTGTTCTGCTTGCGGCTCCTGGTGCTTCTCGTGTAGCGTGGGGAGACCAGTAGAGCCTTCAAGATGATGGCCGACGGGCAGTTGATCGGTGACGGGTCGTGGGAGCTGCATATCAACGTCACCGATCTGCAGGTGGAGAGAATCCTCAGAGTGAAGAGCGATCTGCACATCGGTGGTGTAATGCTTCGCCTCGTTGAAGAATTAGGTAAGTTGACGTTTTATTTTCCATTTATACCTGTCTTTGCCCATCTCACTTGGTATTTTTTCATGTATCTATCTCTCCTTGAGCTTTTTTTATGTAAGGGAAAACATGGTCACAGCTTTCGTGGCAGGCTTTTAATGCTCTCCCTGTAGTGCAGGGTAGTGTAACCGCAGGTGGTGTAAGTAAAACACCGGAAACCAAACCAGATATGCATGTTATTAGGAGGGCGGGGGATGTTGGCGGCCACCCATAATTACACCTGCTCCTAGTCAAGGCAACCTGCCATCCCTGAAAAAAAACCCACGGGTATTGTGTCCTAAGGCAAAAAGGTAATGATTTTAAACCTACCATATTTGCTTTTTCTCGAATTTCTCTCTTTGCTGTCTTTTTAAGAGGGTAGTGTTCCCAAAATGAGGTTACGCCCTTATTCTGCATATTGTGAAATGAGTTGGGGTAACCAGGTGAAGGAGTGCATGAGACATGTGACTAGTGGTACAGTTGCGGAAATGTATTTTACATCCCTTGCGGTAATCCGTTTCTCCAAACGGCACCGCCACAGTAGCAGTATCACTATTTATCAATGAATGGGTATTGGGAGACACGGGTTACCACCGGGGGTGTAGGAACACATTTCCGCAACTGTACGAATGGCTGGATGAATATCCAACCTGCTTTCAGCCTAAAATTTCACATTATCCATGAGTGAGTATTTATTGTTAACACCTCACCTTTTGGGGGGGGGGGGGGCACTTCTTAGTTATTTGCGCCTCATGTTAATAAAAATGTATTCTTTATTCGCATGACTACAAATCCTAAAAGGTAAGGTGTCCTGGCTCTGTTTTTTAGCAATATGTTAGCGACCAAATGACTTTCATTGACTAGCATAATCTAGTGGCTGTGGGATTTATGAGACAAACGGCTTTTAGCATCTGGACTTCAAAAAAAAATTTATGAATTTCTTGGTTGTTGGCAGTGACTTTTGGTAGCGGAGTTTGTTGATGATACGATAAGTTGCCACTGCACCCCCATTGCCAGACGCTGAGTCACGGGTGGATGGGCAGCACCGTACATCACTATGGTACTGAGGGTTTTTTCCCCAACATATTTGCTTTATCAGCCTACTGATGAGTTTGTGTAGACATTATCACTGTGCGAATATTTAGTGGTGTATCGTGTTGCACGAAACTGAATGCAGTGCATCTTGGGTTTGGGGGTATACTATTTCAAGGTCAAGTCATAGGGTTGCGTGATGCTTGGCTATATTTTCCGGCTTTGAGTGCACAAGTTAGGTGATGAAAGTGCTAGATCGGGATTAAATACCAAAGACCTACTGAACATTAGAAATATTTCACCTCACGTTGAGACACATTCACTCAGTTATAATGGAGGAAGGCTGGAGGAGTTCAAGGCATAAGATATGGGTAGTTTTAGAGGTGTATGCGACAAATAAAATGTGTTGTAGGTTCTGTAAGTGTGGGAGGAGTGTTGATAAGAAAAATATTGGAAGGGCAAGGGTTTGAGGCTCCGGATGTAAGAGTATAGGCATAGGGCATGGGGAGCGAGTTGTGCGTAGGTATAGATATGGGGGTGGGAAGGACGTGGGGTTGAGGTAGCAGGTGCAAGAGGCATAGATAGGAAGTTGTGGGTAGTGTAGAGGCGTAGGTATGGTTTTGGTAGGGACCTGAGTGTGAGGTAGAAGGCGAAAGACCGAGGACGTGGGGAGGTGTGGGTGATGTAAATTTTTAGGTACCGTACTTTGAGAGTGGCGACTGGCGCGAGTGTAGATATATGGTGCAGTATGTGAAAGGTCGTCCACTGCAGCAGTGAATTAGTGACCGCCGCACACCTTATAGAGGGCACCGTGACGTAAGAGGCCAGTCCTTGCCCCATAAGTACATGTACAATCAAAGACAAAAGTAGTGTCACGGTTTTGTCCGAAGATTAAATATAACTCTTGAAACATTATGTGAGCCCCCTACCACAAGGTAGAGCGCACCAAAAGTTAAGTCCTTCGGCATAAATTTTCACCAAATTACACGACACGACTTTTGTCTTTCATTGTACGTACTACCTGTGGTAGGGTCCTTATCTACTTGTGAGTGTGTGTGTAAGATCCTGTGGTCATATATATATATATATATATATATATATATATATATATATATATATATATATATATATATATATATATATATATATATATATATATATATATATAAAGTTTTGGGGAGGATCATCCTGTCATGTGTAACTCGGTGTTTTTGTACGGAGGGGATTTTGTGTGTATAAACGTGTGCACCCGCATTGGTATAAGGGACATAGTACGTTCAAGTATTGTAATTGTGGTGCGAGAGCTCGAGGGCATTTGGAGTGGTGGTAATACCGTAGTGTAGCTTGATAGTGTGGTGTATTCAAAACTGGACAGGATATGACGGACATCCTGATACACTCATCCTCACACGAACTCCCCTCCTCGTCTTCACATGATTCCTAACTTCAGATTGTTCCAGTGAAATGTATTGGATAAACATTAACTCAAGTTTTAACACCGTCGAGAGTACAGAAGTCCTCCGTGGAAGTGGGAAGGGAGGTGCCTTCACGTTGTAGTAGCTCGCTGTCATAGAGCTACACCATCTGGGCATCTGTTGATGGCTTCCACTTTAATTTGTCATTGGCTGATATATGTATACTAAAATAAAATAATACTCATTAAATAGTTTTATGCTACTGCTGGTAATATTTACCATGCCATAATTATAGTGTTTGCTTATATAGTGACTTCCACTACGTTATGTATTCTGTGTCCGTCTTTCACAAGGTTTCCAAACGATATCTTCTGTAAACGTGGATGGATATCGACCAAACTTGGTGTAAAATTGTATTGTCTCAAGATAGTTATCTGTTAATCGTCAGGTCACTAGATCAAAGGACTATTGTTGGTAAAGACAGAGCCTTGTGGTACACTACCATTTTGTTGTAGTGACCAATAACTATTCTTCTTAAATTATTGTACCCCAGCACAACACAAACCTGTACAAGGGTATAATGTTTCTCACATTCTAGTGAGTGTGTCGAACCCCGTCCAGGTTAATGTAAAAAATAGTATACGATACCACTTAGGTCAGGAAGTGTTAGTGGCATATTGCTTCTAACATGATGTGAGTACATTACCGTGTGTCGTTACTGCCAAGTATAATCCAAGCTGATGATTTGGTTACCCTGGGCCCACCTCACGCTCGCCAATTTTTGTGGAATTTGAATGTGAAATTAATTTAATTTTATGGAAGTAGAATATTATTTCAGAGGGACAGATGGGTTCTTCATCACAGAAGGAGGTCAGGGTGGTGGTGGTGTCTGGCGTAGTGTGACCGTGATCTCCCCCCCTCTCTCTCTCTCTCTCTCTCTCTCTCGCGCGCGCGCGCGCGTGTTTAAGTTTAATGTAGTTGTGGGTTAAGGGTAACGCGGAGAAAGTAAAAATTAAAAAGATGGTAGAAAGGTGTCTATAGTGTGTGTTTGTGTGTGATGGATGAAACGATCTAGTGGTGAGGGTGGGAGTGGTGGTTGCTGTGGGTTACTATGTGGTTAGTGGTGATGGTTGTGGGTTATCGTGTGGTTATTGGTGATGCTTGTGGCTTTGACGCGTGGTAAATGTGGCGCGTGGGGAAAGAGGGAGGTTGGAAACGATGGGAAGGAGGATATTGAATGAGGTTGTTATGGAGAAATAAGTGGAACAGAAAACGGAGGTGGAAATGGCGGGGAAAATTGGGAATGTGGGAGGTGGAGGGTTGATTGATAGTGTGGGAGGGTGGGGGGTTGATTGATAGTGTGGGAGGGGTGGGGGTTGATTGAGTGTGGGAGGGTGGGGGGTTGATTGGGAGGGTGGGGGGTTGATTGAAAGTATGGGGGGTGGAGGTTGATTGATAGTGTGGGAGGGTGGGGTTGATTGATAGTGTGGGAGGGGGGGATTGGGGGGGTGGTTGATTGAAAGTATGGGAGGGGTGGTGGGGTTGATTGATAGTGTGGAGAGGGTGGGGGTTGATTGATAGTGGGGAGGGTGGGGGGGTTGATTGATAGTGTGGGAGGGTGGAGGTTGATTGAAAGTATGGGAGGGTGGAGGGTTGATTGAAAGTATGGGAGGGGTGGGGTTGATTGATAGTGTGGGAGGGTGGGGGGTTGATTGAAAGTGAGAGGGTGGAGGTTGATTGACAGTGTGGGAGGGTGGGGGGTTGATTGAAAGTGGGAGGGTTGGAGGTTGATTGATAGTGTGGGAGGGTGGAGGTTGATTGAAAGTATGGGAGGGGGTGGAGGGTTGATTGATAGTGTGGGAGGGTGGAGGGTTGATTGAAAGTATGGGAGGGGTGGGGTTGATTGAAGTATGGGAGGGTGGAGGTTGATTGATAGTGTGGGAGGGGTGGAGGGTTGATTGAAAGTGAGGGTGGAGGGTTGATTGATAGTGTGGGAGGGTGGAGGGTTGATTGAAAGTATGGGAGGGGTGGAGGGTTGATTGAGTATGGGAGGGTGGAGGGTTGATTGAAAGTATGGAGGGTGGAGGGTTGATTGATAGTGTGGGAGGGTGGAGGGTTGATTGAAAGTATGGGAGGGGTGGAGGGTTGATTGAAAGTGGGGAGGGTGGAGGTTGATTGGGTGTGGGAGGGGAGGGTGGAGGGTTGATTGAGTAACTATGGGGAGTGGAGGGTTGATTGAAAGTATGGGAGGGGTGGAGGGTTGATTGAAAGTATGGGAGGGGTGGAGGGTTGATTGATAGTGTGGGAGGGGTGGAGGGGTGGAGGGTTGATTGAAAGTATGGGAGGGGTGGAGGGTTGATTGAAAGTATGGGAGGGGTGGAGGGTTGATATGGAAGCTTCGTACTTGGGGCTCTTGGAGTGAAAGTCATGAACGGTTACATAGAGTAGCAGGGTGATGTGGCGTCCACTGAAGTACGGTACCTCATCTTTAAATTTGATGAATAGTACTTGGGTGGGTGGGGTAGTGGTTTGTTATAT